AAAAAAAAAAAAAAAGAAAGAAAGAAAGAAAAGAAAAAAAAGAAAGGATTCTTTAAAAGGTTTTCAGGCTGGGTGCAAGGAGGCCCTTGCCTGTAATCTCAGCAGTCTTGGAGGCCAAGGCAAGAACACTGCTTGAGGCCAGGAGTTGAGAACAGCCTCCAACTCCTCAGTTGGAGAAGAGATTTGAGTTTGCTATGAGCTAGGCTGATGACATGGAACTCTAGCCTAAGGGTGGGGGTAGGGGTGGGGGTAGCGGAGTAAGACTGTCTCAAAAAAAAAAAAAAAAGACAAAGAACAAAAACGAGAGGAGAGGAGAGACAAGGAGAAGAGAAGCACAGTGGCTCACTGTAATTTTAGCACTCTGGAAGGCCCAGGCAGGTGGATTGCCTGAGCTCATAGGTTCGAGACCAGCCTGAGCAAGAGCGAGATCTTGTCTCTAAAAAAACAAGAAAGAAAGAAAAAATAGCCAGGCGTTGTAGCAAACACCTGTAGTCCCAGCTACTTGAGAGGCTGAGGCAAGAGAATCTCTCTTTTTTTCTTTTCTTTTTTAGAGACAGTCTCACTTTGTTGCCCTCGGTAAAGTGACGTAGCATCACAGCTCACAGTAACCTCCAGCTCTTGGGCTTAGGTGATTCTCTTGCCTCAGCCTCCCAAGTAGCTGGGACCACAGGTGCCCGCCACAATACCGGGCTATTTTTTTGTTGCAGTTTGGCCAGGGCTGGGTTCGAACCCACCACCCTCAGTATATGGGGCAGGTGCCCTACTCACTGAGCCACAGGCACCGCCCAAGAGAATTTCTTGAGCCCGAGATTGCTGTGAGCTAAGACTACCAAGGGCATCAAAGTGAGACTCTCTTTCCAAATAAATAAATAAAAGGAAGGGATAAGGGAAATAAAAGAAAAGAGAGGAGCAGGTCTGGAGCTCTAGATCAGGAGCCAGGTATCAGGAGAGGTTTTCTATGTATATGGGTTTTGTTTGTTTGTTCTTTTGAAGATTGCCTGAGCTATGTTTGCTATTTCTTTCTAGTTTATAAGCTGAGCTGCCAGTAGCCTCCAACAAGAAAACCCTAGAAACAAAAGCAACAAGTGGAAACAAGGAGCAAGAAAGGAAAGCACAGTGAAAGCTGGCCTTCTCAGTCAACTGTAGGAGTCAGGGGACTCAATGGATGGAGCAGATTTGAAGGAAAAAAGAAAAGCAGGCAGAATCAGAGGTGAGTAGACTGCGAGAAATGTTAGGAGCCTAGCAGCTAGAAGACCCTGTGGTTCCCCGGCACAAAACAGCCCCTAAACAGGGATTTATGACTTCTACTGAACAAAACGACTGCACTGGTGGAGCATATCAAATCTCTAAAGTTAACTTCTGGATTTCCCCAAGAATTTAATCATGTTATTATGATGTGCTTGGTTTTCCTCCAAATGTTATTCAGAAGTGTGGACCAAGTTGCATCTCCTGTCTCAACAAGGTGCTTACTTTTCTTTCTTTCTTTCTTTCTTTTTTTTTTTGAGACAGAGTCTCACTTTGTTGCCCTCAGTAGAGTGCTGTGGTGTAACAGCTCACAGCAACATCAAACTCTTCGGCTCAAGCAATTCTCTTGCCTCAGCCTTCCAAGTAGCTCCTGCTACAGGTGCTCACCAGAACACCTGGCTATTTTTTTGTTGTAGATGTCATTGTTGTTTGTCAGGCCTGGGCCAAGTTCAAACCCACCAGCCCTGGTGTATGTGGCCGGTACCTTGGTCACTGAGCTAAAGGTGGCGAGCCAAGGTGCTTACCTTTCTTAAGAATCTTCTTCACTTTCACATAGTTCCCTTGTCTGACATACTCATGTAGCTGAGCTTCCAAGGAGTCATTTCTTAAAGTACCAAGCTGAACAGGACAAGGGACTGGAAGATGAATAGCTCGAGACATCCTGTTTCAAAAGAGACCAACATGTTTATTGTAGTCAAACGAGAAAACCGAAACTTTGATTCTTTCACATTTAGAGACCTGTTCACCCATCTTCATTAATAATGAATAAGATTAGGAGAATAATTACTGAAACTCTATGAGATATTATTTTTGAAATTGAAGACCTGAACATATTTATCACTAATTCCCAGAACTGAAATAGTGATGACTAGAAGGAAATAAAATTAGAGATATACATGTTTATTGTGTCATTAAGATAATTAAGAGAGTATTATTGCCTTTGAAAGGTTAGAACACAAATGCAGTTATTATGTACTATTGTAGATGGTATTGAGCCAGCAAAGTGGCCTGCAAGGTGAAGTCTGAAAAGCAAAGCTGACTTAGTATGCTCAGTCTTCCCCAAACACCTTCTATGAATTATCAAGTTAAGGTTTCACCATAATTGTGAGGAGGTTTGTCTCAGCAGACTTTGAGGAAGTAGTCACACACAGACAATAGGTATTTTGATCTTGGTAGAGTAAATTTACTTTGATAATGTTTTCTTTTCTTGTTTTTCTTTCTTTCTTTCTTTTTTTTCTGAGACAAGAGTCTCACTCAAGTCAGCCTGGGGTTGAGTGTCATGGCATCATAGCTCAGAGCAACCTCAAATTCTTGGGCTCAATCCTGAGCATCTGAGTCTATTGGCACCTGCCACAATGCCCAGCTAGTTTTTCTATTATTTATTTATTTGGGGAGCAGTTTTTATAGTTTTATTTAAACACAAAGTGTGCACATGTGCTGCCCACTATTTTCTTTGCTGTGTAGCCTGGCATTGGGATTGGTGACTCTGATGGCCAGCTGGGCTGCTCTTTCCATAAAGACTTTGGGATTCTTGGATAAAACATTGTGAGTAATCTCTGCAGAGTAAGATTTGTTGCACACTGGCAGCACTTGGAGCTCCTTGACATTATGGCTGCAGGACTTGCAGAAAGCACTGGGCAGCATATACTTTGTTTTCTTGTTGCTCCCATAACCAAAGTTGGGCATCAAGATTTGGCCTTGAATATAGAGGATTAAACATCATACTTACTACAACAGTCACCGATATTATAACTCATCTGAGGAATTACTGAGAACAAGACATTCTCCTGGCAAGCCTGGAAATCTCTTGTGACTTGGAAGGCAAGCCACCAAGCAACTCAGTAATCCTGGAGGAGCAAAGTTCAGTCCTGTAGTAGTAAGGCTAATGTTAAATGTTAAGCATTTTATGACAGTACCTTAAAGGATTAGTGGAGAAAAATTGCATTTAGTATTTTGAAGATCATTTCCTTGAGTACATACTCTGTTGGCAACTACGAGATCATGCATGCAACCCCTGTATATCTTTGCTTAGTAATCTTTCCGCCTATTATGTATCTTCTCAATAAAAGGACTCTGTAAGAAGTGCTCAGTGCTATCCTGCACCTATGGTTACCCTCACCTCTTGCAGTGTGTACTGTCAATTGTGTCTTGCATGATCATTTATGCGGTTGCGAAACTTGAATCTTCTCCAAACCCTGTTGTCAATACCTCTGGGTTTCCTCCAGTTACACTTAATTTTGACATATCAGTCTGACCGGTGCCAGATGAACTTCTTGGTTTTCAATAATCTGGGGCTTCACAAGGGGTCTGAGGGTGGACATGATGCCAAATAGGAGATGGTTGCCACCTCTGCAGGCGGCCCCAAGGAAGAAAAAGCACTTTTCCATTTTTTAGTAGAGATGGGGGGCGTCTCACTTTGCTCAGGCTGGTCTTGAACTCTTGAACTCAGGCAATCCACCTGCTTCCAGCCTCCCAAAGTGCTAGGGTTACATGCATGAGCCACTGCACCTGGTTATAATATGTTTTCTTTGATGATTTTTTTAGATATTTTTTAAAGTGAAAATTACTTTTATGTTGTTTAAACATTTTGCATTGTTAAAGCGAAGACTACTTCCATGTTGTTTTCTGTCAGATAAAGTTAAAATTTTCTAGGTTCCTTTCCTGGTATTCCCATTATAAAAGTTATTAGAATTGTAACTGAGGCAGAACAATCTTTGAGAGACAGACTACTCTCACTGTTCTCCAGAATTGCTGGCTTTCTGAGAAATAAGGTTTGGTGAACCTAATCCCCATCTCTGCAAATTGGCTGCACAGTGCCAGGTGACTGGACTCTCTTCATCAGTAACAGTATAATGCAGTGAAGCTAGGTGTGGTGGTTAACACCTGTAATCCCAACATTTTGCAAGGCTTAAATTGGAGGATTTTTTGAGCCCAGAGTTCAAATCCAACCTGGGCAACACTGTGAGATCCCATTTCTTAAAGAAAAAAAAAAAGTATATATATATATATGTGTGTGTGTGTATAAATATAAAAAATGGCTTGGCACCCATTGGCCAGCGGTTAGGGTGCCGGCCACATATATCAGAGCTGGTGGGATCGAACCTGGCCCAGGCCTGCTAAACAACGACTACAACAAAAAATAGCCAGGCATTGTGGTAGGTGCCTATAGTCCCAGGGACTTAGATGGCTGAGGCAAGATAATCACTTAAGCCAAAGAGTCTGAGGTTGCTGTGAGCTGTGACACCACTGCACTCTACTGAGGGCAACATAGTGAGCTGTCTCAAAGAAAAACAAAAACAAACAAACAAACATAAAAACACTGAAGCACAATTCCTAGTACCTTAGACTGTAACTGTATTTGGAGATAAGATCCTTAAAAGGCTGATTTAAATTATAATGTGGCTCAAGGAGTAGGGAACCTGCTCCATATACCAGAGGTGGTGGGTTCAAACTTGGCCCCAGCCAAAAACGGCCAAAAAAAAAAGAAAAAAAGGGCTCCGGTCCCATATACAGAGGGTGGCGGGTTTGAACCCGGCCCTGGCCAAACTGCAACCAAAAAAAAGCCGGGCATTATGGTAGATGCCTGTGGTTCCCCGCTACTCATGAGGCTGAGGCAAGAGAATCGCCTATGCCCAAGAGCTGGAGGTTGCTGTGACCTATGATGCCACTGCACTCTACTGAGGGTGACAAAATAAGACTGTCTCTAAAAAATAAAAATAAAAATAAAAAAAGCCGGGTGTTGTGGCAGGTGACTGTACTCCCAGCTACTTAGGAGGTTGAGGCAAAAGAATCGCTTAAGCTCAAGAGTTTGACGTTGCTGTTAGTTGTGATGCCACAGCACTCTACCGAGGGTGACATAGTGAGACTCTGTCTTGGAAAAATAAAATAAAATAATAAATTATAATGAGGCCCTTAGGGTAAGACCTCAGAACACAACTCTGTCAGCACCTTGATCTTGCTTGAACTTATAGCTCCCAGAACTGTGAGAAAATACTATTATTTAAACCACCCAAACTGGCTCAGCACCTATGGCTCAACCGGCTAAGGCGCCAGCCACATACACCTGAGCTGGCGGGTTCGAATCCAGCCCGGACCGCCAAACAACAATGACGGCTGCAACCAAAAAACAGCTGGGCGTTGTAGCGGGCGCCTGTAGTTCCAGCTATTTGGGAGGTGGAGGCAGGAGACTCGCTTGAGCGCAGGAGTTGGAGGTTGCTGTGAGCTGTGATGCCACGGTTCTCTACCCAAGGCGACAGCTTGAGGCTCTGTCTCATAAAAAAAAAAAAAAACAAAACAAAACCACCCAAACTGTGATACCTTTTTTAAGATAATAAGTTTTGTTAAGTCCACTTAATGAAAACACCCACTTTTACTTATTTACTTTTCATTAGTTTAAATCCTTGGCCAGCACAGCATCACACACATTCTGTGTTCAATGGCAGCCCACAGCATCACACACATTCTGTGTCCAATGGCGGCCTTAGCAGGAAAATTGCTTCGTTATTTGGGACCAACCATGCCACTGTTTCTGCAAGCTTGCCTCACCTTTCCCCAAATACTCTGGTTGTGTTCAGTTGCCACCAAGAGCCACTATGTTGTTCTTTGCTTTGTATATGTAACCATATCTCTTGCCCAAATAAAATCCAGATTCAACTCGCATTAACACTCCTCAACTTTTAAGACCTGTGTGCTCTCTTTGGTTCTGGAGATCCCTCTTACAGCCAACCAAAAAGGGCCTTGGACTACAACCTCACAGATACATTCGGTTTTTAGAAGCCTTGCTTTTAGTATTAGGCACGGTGGCTCATTCAAAGGCAAGTAAATGGTCCGAGCTCACAGGTTTAAAGAACAGCTAGAATTAGAGCAAGGAGTCGTCTCCAAAAAAAGTCAAGTGTTAGACTCGGCACCTGTAGGATCTACCTACTCCAATAGCTAAATCAAAAAACCCAGATGAGCACAGAAATTTGAGATTTGTTATTAAACCTCAACTGAATAAACATCTATCTTAAAATCCACAATTAGGTACAAGACCTGAATTAGTCCCGTCTATCGTTTATAAAACTTTGCATCAGGGGAAAGCGCGAACGCAGTCCCCCACTACCACAAATTATGCAGTCGAGTTTCCCACATTTGGGGAAATCGCAGGGGTCAGCACAGCCGGAGTGCAATGGGTGAGCCTCGCCCTGGGAAAACCACCTTCATGATCATGGTATCTCCCCTGCCAGGTAAGTATGAATCATGCAGTTTGAGTTTTGCTTCACCCTAGTCCTCAACACATTACACAGTTATGGTCAATTGTACTGTGCGTTCTGTAGACCTTCAGTTAGAAACTACAAATATCTTCATACAATAAGATCAAACTACATCCTTTTGACTATTTGTAGAAATTATTCCGCAAGAAGAAAGCTGTAGCACCGGCAATCACTGCGCTCTCATCTACATATCCCCGCCTCCTCCAATGATGTCACCATACCTTTCAACCTTTTTTTCATGCTGTTTGCTCACAGGTGAACTCGCTCTAGCTACCCGTCCCAAAGATCCAAAAGACATCAAAATGGAGACATTTTGATTACTTGCCTTTTCAGGCATAAGCAAAGGTTCTGACGTGAGTTTGTAATGACGTCAGGACTAGTCTGAACAGGGCGCTGCAGGGCAGTTTGAGAGGCGTTTGCGTGGGGCTGCTCCACTCTGGGATTTCATCAAACCCTCAGGCTCTCTCAGCTTCCGTTTCCCAAAATTATAAAGTAGAAACAATACTGTCTATCTCACAAAGATTTTATGAGGGCTGAATAAGAGAATGTGTATAAAACGTGGCTGCAAGGCCCCTAACGCCTCTCAGGCCATTGTGTACCTAGACTCAGATGCCAGCCTTGTCAAGATTACTCTCTGCAATTCTTGGCCCAAAGGGAAGCAGCATCCGGCCTGACGTGGTGTCCTGTGGCTATAGTCCCAGCTACTCTTTCAGAGGTTATAGTGAGATCATACCACTACACTCCAGAGTCTGGGCCACTGTATTCCAACCCTGTCTCAAAAAAAGAAAAGAAGAAAATCTCTTATGACTTCATTGATTTTTAAAAAATGAACATATATTATTATGTATGAAATATCTTCTACCCGGGTGGTCGCTCAGGCCTATAATCCTAACACTCTGGGATTGAGGTGAGAGGATCACTTGATCTCAGGAGTTCAAGACCAGCCTGAGCAAGAGCAAAACCCACCTCTATTAAAAATAGAAAAGTTAGCAGGGCATTGTGGCAGGTGCCTGTAGTCCTAGCCCCTGAGGCTGAGGCAAGTTCACTTGAGCCCAGAAGTTTGAGGTTGTCCTGAGCGAGGCTAATGCCACCACACCCTAGATCAGCGGTTCTCAACATGTGGGTAGCCACCCGGAAGAACTGTATTAAAAACTTGTGGCATTAACAAGGTTGAGAACATTGCCTTACATCATCTGACAGAGTAAAAGTGACACTCTGTTCAGGAAAAACAAAGAAACAAGCTCAGCACTGGTAGCACAGTGGTTACAGCGCCTGCCACATACACCAAGGCTGGTGGGTTCAAACCCAGTCTGGGACCAGCTAAACAACAATGACAACTGCAACCAAAAAAAAAAAAAGAAAAAAAATAGCCTTGTGTTGTGGGGGGCACCTGTAGTCCCAGCTACTTGGGAGGCTGAGGTGGGAGAATTGCTTAAGCTCAAAAGTTAGAGGTTGCTGTGAGCTGTGACGGCAACAGTACTCTACCATGGGTGACAGCTTGAGACTCTGTATCAAAAAAAAAGTATTTTTTCCTTCCACTTAAAAAATTACTTTCCCTGCTCGGTGCCTGTGCCTCAAGTGGTTAAGGCGCCAGCCATATACACCCAAGGTGGTGGGTTTGAATCCAGCTGGGGCCCGCCAAACAACAATGACGGCTGCAACCAAAAAATAGCTGGGCGTTGTGGTGGGCGCCTGTGGTCTCCGCTACTTGGGAGGCTGAGGCAAGAGACTCACTTGAGCCCAGGAGTGGAGGTTGCTGTGAGCTGTGATGCCACGGCACTCTACCCAGGAGGACAGCTTGAGGCTCTGTCTCAAAAAAAAAAAAAATCATTTTCCCCCCTCATTTTATTTTTATTATTATTTTCTTTTTAGAACTAAGTCTTGGCTTGGTGCTTATGGCTCAAGTGGCTAAGGCACCAGCCACATACATCTAAGGTGGCGGGTTCGAATCCAGCCTGGGCCCACCAAACAACAATGACGGCTGCAACCAAAAAATAGCCAGGCATTGTGGTGGGCACCTGTGGTCCCAGCTACTTGGGAGGCGGAG